ATATATATATATATATATATTTAGGCAAATAAAGGCGTTAACACACACATGGGTCAGTGCAGATCTATGAGCTTTTTAGTTTGTTCCAGTTGCCTTCCACATCTGGTTCCCTTCTAATGCCCTCCTTCAAAGTGCAATTCTGCTTTTACATCATAAGCAAAACAGAGCATCATCCTGCATAAAGGTGGTGGCTAATGCTCATGTGTGGGGCTATGATCCTCTGCTGAAGTCACTAGAAACACCCCCTGCCTCCTGAAATCTGGCTATATTCATGGGATTACACACACGGGGACAGATCTTCAGTTGGTGAAAATGCACCAGTTTTACATACAGTGTCTTAAAAAAAAGATCTGGATGGATAAATCGAGGACTGTGTAAAGAAATACAGCATAACTGTACAGAAGCCTACTAGGTGTGAATTCTTGAGACAAGTAGAGTTTTATGCTCAAGTGTCAAATACAGGCAGCAAAACTTATTTTTCTTTTATATGAAAGGACTGAAATATGGTTAATCTGGTAGTAAAAATGTACAATAAATTATATCTTGCTATATATTATATATTAAATCAGACTAATATTTTTGGTAAAATCTCAATGCAGCTGAAGTCATTAGGAGTTTCACCTCTGTCTTAAATGGAGCTAAGACGTCATCCTTTTTGTAGTGTTCTCCAAAAGGCAGTAGGAGCATAAAACATTACTTATAAATGTCACAATTTTTCTCTCTTTTCTTTCTTAAATATATATCCATCATTTGGAATCCTTATTTCCAAGTGCGGACAAGAAATAAAGCAATATCTAAAAGAAGATCCTAGTGGGGGTGGGGGGGTAAAATATATGGTCCCAATGAACGTTTACTTTTTGAAAAGTTGAGACAAATAAACCCCAAAACTATGGGTTGTCAAGAACTCAGTAACAGTGCTAAAGGCTTTTCTGAAAATAAAGAGCATTAAAGCCAATCAGATATTCTATATTATAATTGCTGCTTTGACATAAAAAATACAAAGGTGTCATACCTTATTATTGTGTGTAACCCTTTAAAACTTCCATGAAAAGGACAGCATAAATAACCACTTTATTTTTTAAACTTAAAAACGTCAACTTGAAGTAGTCATTGTTTTTAAAGTTAATTAAAAGTATTTGTAGGGTCTAAATTTTCCCTTGAGCCTGCCTACCTATTTTTTTCTCCAGTCTTACAGTCACATTTCCTTTTTTCCCTGAGTCATATTTAAATCCTCAAAAGAGAGCTAAAATAGGACTGAAGTGATGCCTTTTGCCTTAATGTTTGATTCTGTAGCCACAACTAATGTCAATAATCTCAGCACTGGGCCCTTATTTTGTATGGGCTACAAGAGAAAATGCTACGTCCTCTATTACACTTTGCCTTCTGGGATGTCCTGAAAACATGAAGGGAAAGGAAAGGTTCAATGGGGAGTGCTTGGACCTCTAAATAGCATATGCTAATATTTGAAAACAAAATATAAGTTTCATTTTCTCCACAATCAGCACAATTTAAGATGCTGGTTCATTAAACAATTAAGCACCAAGTTGTCTTTTCAGATCCATAAGCACCTGAATTTTATGTTAGATAAGAGTTTGGCTCCAACAAAAATAAAAATAGGATCCACAGGGCCAAATTTTCAAAGACTCTGTCAATGGGTGATGTCATGCAAAGTGCATATGCACCACTATCATAGAATGATAGAATACTAGGACTGGAAGGGACCTCGAGAGGTCATCGGGTCCAGTCCCCTGCCCTCATGGCAGGACCCAGTACTGTCTAGACCATCCCTGATAGACATTTATCTAACCTACTCTTAAATATCTCCACAGATGGGGATTCCCTGGGCAATTCATTCCAGTCTTTGACCACCCTGACAGTTAGGAACTTTTTCCTAACGTCCAACCTAAACCTCCCTTGCTGCAGTTTAAGCCCATTGCTTCTTGTTCTATCCTCAGAGGCCAAGATGAACAAGTTTTCTCCTTCTTCCTTATGACACCCTTTTAGATATCTGAAAACTGCTATCATGTCCCTCCCTCAATCTTCTCTTTTCCAAACTAAAACCCAATTCTGTCAGCCTTCCTTCACAGGTCATGTTCTCTGGACCTTTAATCATTCTTCTTGCTCTTCTCTGGACCCTCTCCAATTTCTCCACATCCTTCTCGAAATGCGGTGCCCAGAACTGGGCACAATACTCCAACTGATACCTAATCAGCACAGAGTAGCGTGGAAGAATGACTTCTTGTGTATTGCTCACAACACATTATGCCCACAAAACCCTACAGTTTCACACATGAACAGATACCTGGATGCTCCAATGAGCTCAGTATACTATTTTACTTCTGTAGCTGCTCACTGAGGCACTTCATGTTTATGAAGCACACATTTTTAAAATACCATTAAAAAAGGTGGTCTGGGATATACTTTCAGAGAACAGCACTAGCTAAAGAGAGCTTCCGAATTGAATTTCTGATGACCTTACTAAGGACAAACATACTCTAGACTTGGAAGATGGGATTTAGGTACTCAACTCTAGCTACGTAAAATACATAGCTGGAGTTGGCTTACCTCAAGCAGAGATTGGTGCTGTCAGGGAAGGACAACAGGAGCAAACACTGACCGAAGGAGTACTGGCACTGACTAAAGTCACCTTCAGCATTCAATTTAGCAGGTCTTAACTAGACTCTCTAAATCAAACACCAGAAGATCTCTCTCTGGCGTGGCAAGTGAAGACACGGCCTAAGTCAGTCATGATTTGGTTTTAGAACTTGGTTCTAATACAATAGCATGTCAACACTAGGCAGGAAAACCACACTAGAGCACTGTCAGTGACAACTGCAATTACACATGGCTGCTATCATGGTTCCAACTGCCATGTGAGTAAGAATAGAGGCATCTTCTAAGGATACAAGGGCTACGTCTACACTGGCCCCTTTTACGAAAGGGGCATGCTTTGAAGTAGGAATAAGAGATCCTCCAGAAAAGGGCTTTATTCCGGAGGATCAGGCCAGTCTAGACGCTTTTTTCCGGCTTTTCCCCAAGCCGGAAAAAAGCGGCAGACATCTTTATTTAAATCCCGCAGGGGATATTTAAATCCCCCGCGGATTTCCCTATTACGAAGTTTAAAATTAGCATGCCCCTTTCGTAAAAGAGGCCAGTGTAGACGTAGCCAAGATGTTTCCCTTATTTTTCTAATGGGAAATTGAAAACAATGTAACCAAAAGTGAAATGAAAAATGAATGATGGGAATGTCACTTAACCTTTATTCTGACTTTACTGGAATATTAAACATTCTATTCTAGAATGCTTTGCTATTATGTTTCTGCTAAAGATACATAATATTTAAAAGAAGATCTGGCAGTATATTTTAATTACCAATCTAAAAATCTCAACTATCATAATCTATATAAAACTCAGTCAATAGAAAACTTATTTTCAGTGGCAGAAAGACAATTTCAGCAATCAAGAATAGCAAGAGCTCATCTCTCAAAGATGGAATATTGTAACTAAATCACAAATTTCCTCATCTGAAATTATTTCTGTGATAAATGTAATATTTCACATTATGATACAGAATCCGTTCTCAGTGTCATAAACTGACAACTATAGTAAGCAGATTAATCTGGAAAAAAATTGCTTATCAAATAGCTCCTGAAGGGCTTGACACACTGTGGGCTTGGATCAAATGACAATCTACTCATCTACGATATGCCTAATTTGCCAACACAGAAGTTCAAGCCAATCTGTTAGCACTGGGAGAACCAAACTCACTTTGGCCTATGTGACTGTAACTTTGTCAATATTAATAGTTTGCTAATTGTCTTTCTGCGTCGAAAAAGCCAATAATTTAGCCACGTATGTACAAAAGCTCACCTTGAAAATTTGCTGGGACCTTCCCCATCTTCATCATCAAAGTCCATTCTGAAAAAGCAAAATTGTTGTTAATAAGTAATCATTTTTAAGGCAAGAGTTAACATTCTATCAACAAAAAAATCTATAACTTTGCCATTTTTTTATTAAATGAACGCAGTTTTTTTTTTAAATGTGCAGGATCAGATGCCTTCAAGCCTCATCCAAAGCCCACTAAATACCAATGGGAATCTTTCCATGTACATGTATTTCACTGGCCTTGGGTTAAGCCCATGCATAATGAAGTTCTCTGTTATCCAAATAATACAGGTGGGGCAATAGTCAGACAGACCTCCCTGCACTGTCCTGCTCACACCCTTGTGCCCAGGTCATTAGAGTTCACATGTAAAAGCATGAGAGGGAGCAGTAGGTCAATCTCTACACCCAGTCATTTCATGGCCTCTTTGCTAAAACTGGCTACCAATTAGTCCCTATTGATTGTATCTGTGGTGGTTTGTTACCTTTCTGTTAGAAACCAAGATCTCCAGCTTCTTTCATACATGAGATGGTGATGACTTTCAATCACTATAGACCTAGGCTAGATTGAAATGATTTAGTGACTTTTAGCCACGACAAACCCTATTTCTTAAAAGGCTATTTTACATCTCTATTTTCCTATACTTTATAAAGAGTGGCAAGCATTGCTATCCTCGTGTTACCAATGGGGAACCTGTGGTATAATGAGACATCAGGGGCCTGCTTCCGATTAGGGATGTTAAATGTTGACTAATCAGCTAATTGAGTAGTCGATGGAATTTCCATCGACTACTCGATTAGTTGATAAGGGGAGGGCCCTCTGCTGTGCCTCTGCCTTTGAAATGTACAAGAGTCGCCCATGGCTCTTGTACATTTCAAAAGAGGCGCAGCAGTAGGGGTCCCGGTACCAGTGGGGACTGCTTTGGTTCCCACTAGCATGGATTCCCTGTTGGACCTGTGCCTCCCCTGCCCTTCCCCGAGATGGTGCTGGGGGGAGCCGGATTCCCCCAGCACTGCTTCCTGTCCCCCCACTTAGTGTCTCTGTTACAGAGGCAATGAGAGGAACCAACTAGTTGACTGGACTACTTGATAAACCTAGGCTTTATCAGGTAGTCGACTAGTTGCTTATATCCCTACTTCTGATTGCACAATGATTTTATAGATGTAACTTTATTTATACTAATAATCAGACCCAGTTAACACAAATCTAAGTGAGATTTGATTGAGGCTCAACATAAGGCTCTTACCCATGGTACACATTCCATTATCACTGTTTTCAATCACTGTTGGGTTTTGGTTTTTTGTTTGGTTTTTTTTACTCTTTTTGTTTGACAACACAAATACTTCTAAGTTTTCTGAAATTTCCAACTGCAATAAGATTTATAGAAATTCTGGGTTTCATATACCCTCAAGTTCTTTATGATAAGGCAAAAGAAAACTGCAAAGAATAGGTCTTCATATTAAAAAATGTTTTACTGAATTTAAAAAAAAACTAGATTTTTTAAAATACAAAACTTAAAACATTGAGAGTAGAACACAATGGGTGTGTCTAGACTACAGCATTTTTTCGAAAGAAGTGGCCTTTTTCCGAAAAAACTACCCCTGCATCTAGACTGCTGCTGCGTTCTTTCGAAAGTAAATCAAAAGAATGCGGCAGTTTTTTCAACCACAGAAAACCTCATTTTACGAGGAAGAACACCTTTTTTCAAAAGTGCTCTTTCGAAAAAAGGAGCTATGTAATGCAAAATGTGCTTTTTCGAAAGACAGCATCCAGACTGCCTGGGTGCTCTCTTTTGAAAAAGCAGCTTGCTTTTTCAAAAGTACTGGTTGTAGTCTAGATGCTCTTTTTCAAAAGAGGCTTTTTCAAAAGTATCTTTCAAAAAAGCCTCTTTTGAAAGAGGGTTGCAGTCTAGACGTAGCCAATGAGTGTTGGCATAGAATAACTTCTTTCAGAATAAAAACACGAAATGTAAATGAACCACCACATAATATGAGGGCCAGACTCCATCAGATACCTTACTACACTCTACTTAGTTTTGATATAAATGACCATATGCCCTTTCAATTATTTCTTTGGAGGACAATAATCTATTTACAAATGGAACAAAAGCAGAAAATAACCACAGGAACTGAAAATCTCATTAGAAAAGACACATTAATACTTCCTGATGGTAAGAGTGACTGTTCACTTCTAAAGGAAGTGGTCAGGAAACCACTTTCTCAAAAGGTCTCATAGAAAAATAATGTGGTTTTTGTATTTAAGTTGGTTGACGTCTGATTTCATCATTGATGTTTACATTGAAAATTACGTTGCGCTCTACTGATCGTTACTAAGTTCTTTTCAGAATCATTTTCTACATAATGAAGAGCCTTTCAGATGTATTTTTATGGAGCAACAGTGACCTCCAGTGGCCAGTGAGACTAGCTGTACAGAGATATTGGCTATGGCTAATTCATGGCCTGATATACCATACCAATGCTGCCTTCAGTCAGGCGCTTGCCAAAGAGTCTGAATTTGCTCAGACCAGCTGCATGTTAGAATTATCCCCCAACGGACATGCTACCTTGTTGAAATTCTACTGCAATCCTGTCCCTGCAATTTATTTGGCTCTTTTCACCTATGCTGGTGCCACTGAAGTCAAAAGAATTCCAAACAGGCACAGGGGTCAGTCTATGAAGAGTCAACTGTAGGACTGCTGGCTATACAGCAAATCTTTCCTTAACCTCATTGGCAACTGGAGACAAGCAAGATTTACTACAGGTGCTGCAAATCTCGTGCCCTGCGGGAAACCAACAGAGAGAGATTATTTAATGTAGCTCCTTCAATCATTCCGCTTGTAGGGTGTCTTCCATCAGTGGGCTTTCCCAGATCCCAGCCAAAACACACTCAGAATGGGTGTTGAGAGCTGGATCTTCCCAACAGCATAATGTTGCAGCTTTATGATGTTTGGTTCAGTTTATTACTATAGGTTGCACCTCTATAAACTGCAACTCTCTGGTCCAGCAACATCCACGGTCCAGCAGGATCAGAGAGTCCTGGCGTACTCCAGGAGGTGGGGGAGAAGGGCAGAGTCTGACTCACTGTCCAGCTGGGCCGTGGCTCAGCTGGGCCAGGGGAGGGGAGATGGGAAGGCCAG